GCTGCTTCACACATTCATAGCATTCTGAAAAATAATATTGTAGGCACCTAAAATTTTACCAGGAATGTTTTGGTTTATACATTAGCACTAACTCTGTTTCCCAGGAATCCAAAATGTGGCACGTTTTCCATATGTGCTGTTTATGCCTTTTGTGGATAACATGGCACAATGGGAGAGCAGGATTTTTCATCTGTGTTGTTAAATAAATGGATTTTTATAGACTGCTGTGTGTTTTACTATCACAGGCTGATTCTAATTGTCTGTTTCTAGGAGAGATGGATCCAGAACAATTATGGGAGATCGGGATGGACAAGTGAGTTGCTTTATAGAGCTACAGAAATATCTTTACATCTTATAACCTGGTTTTCTATAGTGTGTGTGTCAGATTACATTTCAGTAGTTAAAAATTACATTATATCTACCAAAACATGTTGGAATAATCAGATTGTTTTCAATAAGATTAAATGAAATTTGAAGACTTATTTATTATAAAAGATAGAGTTATTCTGATAGAAATCAAAGCAAGCAAGTCAAAATACAGTATTCCAAAAGATTGCATAGAAGAGGCAAAGGTACAAAATAAAAATTCACTCTGTGATGTTACATGGTAATAAGAGCTGAACTGTAGAGATGTTTGTGGTTGAGGGCTGGGGGAAAGAACTTCAGGGCTCATTCAGGCAGTGACAGGTGAATTTTATGGAGTCATAGAGTCCTCAGTGGCCTTTATTTGCTGTGAGGTTTGGAGGGACCTGGGTAGGCTGGAGAGTTGGGCTGATGGGAATATCCTGAAGGTCAAGAGCAGGAAATGCTCTTGGCTGGTCTTACCAACGGACATTAATAAGTGAGAGAGGGAGGATGTGGATAGGATGTAATGAGGTGCCACTCAGTGGTGCCCACTGAAGAGACCAGAGTCAGTGAGCACAGACTGGAGCACAGTTCCATCTGAAGAGGATTCCAGTCCCCTTTAACTGGGAGCACTGGAACTGGGCTGCATGGAGAGCCCGTCAGGTCTCTAGCTGGGAAGATCCTCAAACCCCCCTGGGAAAAGCCTGGAGCTGGCTGAGCCTGAGCAGATGTCAGAGCTCCCTCCCCTCCCAGGTGATGGTGGGATGGAGCAGCTCCAGCTGTGAGCAGATGTGCAGAGCTCTGTCCCTTGCAGCACTACCCAGACGAGCGCCACGGAGGCCCCGACCGGCACTCGAGGGACTCGCGGGAGAGCTGGGGCAGCTACGGCTCCGACAGGAGGATGAGTGAGAGCAGAGGGATCCCCCCTCAGTCACGGTTAGTGCTGCAAACTCCTCTGCACAGCTCTTCTCCTGCTCCCAAGGAGCATTTCCACATCTCACAGGTTTTGGAAGATGTTGTTTTGGTTTTTTTCCAGCTTTCACCAAAGGTGTGTTGGATGGATTGCAGATGATTTGAAGCCATCAAAACATGCACTCACCTGATCTTTTTAATAACTTCACATCTTAAAGTCATAATGCTTTCCATTAATTTTTGTGATGGTGTTCACAGGGGTCTTAGGATGAGGGAAGAGATGAGAATGTTGACTCCATGTTTCAGAAGGCTTGATTCATTATTTTATTATATATATTATAGTAAAATTATACTAAAAGAATAGAAGAAAGGATTCCATCAGAAGGATAGCTAAGAATAGAAAAGGAAAGAAAAACAAAGGCTTGTGGCTGGGACGGAGTCCAAGCCAGCTGGGCTGTGATTGGCCATTAATTAGAAACAACCACATGAGCCCAATCCCAGATGCACCTGTTGCATTCCACAGCAGCAGATAACCATTGGTTACATTGTGTTCCTGAGGCCTCTCAGCTTCTCAGAAGAAAAAGTCTTAAGGAAAGGATTTTTCATAAAATGTGTCAGTGACAAATTTTAACTAGCATTCCTAGCAAATCTTGCTATTTTCAGGATAGGGGTTCTCCCCCAATATCTATTTTATTCATCATCTTAGTTGGTTTGAGCAGAAAAATTTTTCTGAGATTTTACTTGAAAGATAACAATGTAAATATTATAAGCTTCACATGAGCCTTGATACAACATTTGAGTAAATTTGTGACTTAGATTCAAATACAAAATGAGAATTTCCTGTTCCTCACAGGGATGGACGTGACTGGGGAGATCACAGCCGCAAGTTTGAGGGGCACCAAGATCGCTCCTGGCAGAGCAGCGTGGATGGAGGGATGATAGGACGGGATCATGAGAGGTGGCAAGGTATGGCTCTTGCACAGCTCCTTAGCTGTGTGAAAAAGGAAATCCAGACATGATCCTTGAAGTAAAATTCTTGCTGTGGATATAAAGGGACCGTTTGAACTTTTTTAGGTGGCGGTAGAGGCAGACCTGGCCATGTGATGCATCGTGGAGGCATGTCAGGGTAAGAACTTCCAAAGGAGCAAAGTGTTTGTTTTCCTGATAAGGGACATTTCTTCTATTTCAATTGGCAAAAGAAACATTTTATGGGAGTATCAGTTATCTTAATTTGTTACTTAAATCAAGGAATAATTAAATATCCCCTTGGTTTTTATGTAACGCATTTTATGGAAGAGTGAAAACAAAAAATACCCATTCTAGCAACCTGACCATAGCAGCATGAGAGAATACTGAAATGTCTGAATCCCTTTGCAGGCGTGGCAGTTTCATGCAGGGTGGCAATCAGAGTCAGATCATGCACGGAGGAGGAATGCAAGGGGAAGGATTTGCTGGCCAGGACAGGGCAAACAGACCCAACGATCCTCGGTTCAACCGGCGCTACTGATCCGGCTTGGTTTTTAATGCAAGGTGGCAAGTGAAACAAATCTGTTACCCCAGGGTTACCATTAATTGTAACTTATGGGCTACTGTAAGTGTAATTTTTTTTAAGCTGCTGCCATATTATGTCACTCAATCCAATGTGAACTCATTTGTTTTGTAAGGTGTTGTTCATATCCCATTTAAAAATGTTTGTTAATGAAGCATTCCATTTTCCATAAATAAACGCCAGTTTACAGTTACTTGCTTTGTGTCAGCAGTCCCTGTCAAACAGATTTCTTCAGCTTAACATTGTTTCAAAGATGAAGTGTCAAAATGCCTTAGAGGTGTCCCTTTGCACTCCCAGAAATAGTGAAATAGTGAAATACTGACTGTGTTTTACCTCACAGCTACCAACCTCTGTAACCATGGCCCCTGTGCCACCATGAGAGAACATTTGTGGATCACAGCTGCCAAAGTTTCAATGCCCTGCCACTGCAGAATTGCCACAGGAGCTTGTAGGGCAAGGAGTGTAGAATTCTTTTCATCTGGTGTCATGATGTCTGAAAAAGGAGTTAAACTCTGTGATAGCAGCACAGCTTCTGTAAGAGACAGCCCAGAGGTGCTTGTCAGGATCACTTTATTCAGCTTCTGATAGATCAGGGTAGTCCAGAACTCCACCAGTCTCATACCCCAGTCATTTTACCTAGCAGTCCATCATTTCCTTAGAAGCCACCACTGGCTGTGCTTTGGCATCATTTTGTGTTGAGGGACTGACATGATCAAGATTGGTGCAAATGATCTGCTGCTCTATCCTATCCAAGCTGTAATTTGTCTTTGTGCAGACACCTCTGGAGCAACATGACCTCAACCTTACCCTAAAATGGCTTTTATGGTGCCAAGAGGAAAAAAACTTAATTCATTTGTAGGGTTACTGAGGTTTTTCCATCTTTAGAGAATGGGTTTTTTATGAGCTGCATGAAGATATTTTTTCATTCATCAATGGAGAAAGCATATTATAATGATAAAGCTTTGGAAAGCAATCATCAAAGGGCAAAAAATGGCACAGAAGATCCTGAAAAGCATGGAGAACTCGAGTTCTGAGCATAGCAGAGGTGCAGTGTCCTGTTTGTACATGGTGGGCTTTGCTCCAAGTGGCTCCATTTGGTTTGTAGCAAAGCCAGAGAGAGGAAAACTCTTTGGATGAATGTCAGGATTTCCTTAGAGGAGGGGGAATAGGCCTGGCCCCAAAGCTGTGCTGCCTCCAGACCAGGGGATATGGCAAAGCCAGAGAAGAAATGGGGCATTGATGGAGCTTCTCTGGGCTCTGGGGGGCTGTGAGGCACCTGCAGGACACAACTCCAGGCTTTACTGAGCTTGGAGCTTCCATCTGGAGCATCAGGTTTAAGAGTTGCTGATGGACCCATGCCTCAGGAATTAACTTAAGCACTTGGTAAAGCCATTTGCATCTTAGCCAAATCCTCTGCAATCTCTGGGCAGTTGGCTGCATCGTTTATCTATTTGTTAAAAAAGGAAACAAAACTGCAAATCCTTCTTCATCCTCATGTTCTATATTTGCTTCCTGATTTGAGTAAGGACTCGTCCTGCTGTTCCCTGTTCTGCAGCTGTGTTTTGGCACATTTTAAATTACAACAATCCTATCAGAGAGAGTTAAAAACACAGAATCAATTTGTATCTTTATTTTACAAGTGGTGCCCTCCTTATATTTGCCTGTGAAAAGTGACAGGAGCACCTAAATTATATATTCTACCTTTTGCACCTACTTTATATGTTCTACCTTTTGCACCTACTTTACATTGCAGGAAAAAGCAAAACCTGTGACTGAAAAGTGACCTTGTGAAAGTTTTCATCCACATTAAAATGAAAATGTGCACAGTCTGCCAACTGGGCCATGGTGCAAGCTAACAAAAGGTTTCATGCAGATAAACTTTGCTCAGTTACTCTCTCCTGTGTTGTATAATCCTCCTAGGCCACCTTTTACAGCATCTTTTACTGTTACCTTGGATTTTAAAAATTTTTTTGAACTCTTGTTGGCTTGGTTTGAATGAGATGGCATTTCTCTTCAAGATTGTTCTGAAGCTGAATTAATCTATTTTGTTGTTTCCAAGCTTTAGAACAGAAGCTGTTCTCAGCACATGGCCATCACTTCATCACAAATACCTGTGATTCCTGGAGCCCTGGATCAGTGCTAAGACAAAGCAATCCTTCCACTCTGCAGGCTAAAACCAACCCAAATACAAATGGAGGTTCCACCAAAGTCTTTTATTGTAGCCCTTACACGGCTGAGCTGCCCTCCAGAGGTGCAGAAGGAGAGAATCCTGAGCTCTGGGGAACGGGGTCATTTCACAAGATCCTTCACGTATTTCCAGCCTTCCACTGTGTACTCACAGGCCCTGCTGGGAGCTGCAGACAAGGCAGACATGACTGTGTGCACTCCTGTGAGCAAAGCAGAGAAGAATTACCCCAAAATCATCATTCAAGCCAAATTTCCCAATTTCCAACACCACCACTGTCGATCTCTTCAAGCCCTGAGCATTTGTGACACAGAAATTCCAACTTCAGGGTCTGTACACGGGCTAAGACAATTCCAGGACTGAGCTCAGCTCTTTGTTTAAGTCCTGTTTTATTTCTGGCCTTGCCACACTCCATGGGTGATGCTGGACGTGTCACAGTTATTTGTGGATTGTGTTTCCCCACAATTACATAAAGACTCTTTTCTGCACCATAAAACCTATATATTACTAGGTATTTATAACCTAGTGTAGGTATTAATTACTGGTATTTATAGGTTTGGCCTTCAAACAAAAATGTCTAAAATTCTAATAACAATGGGAATGCTCATCCCTTCTGAAAAGCCAAAGACTGAGCTCAGACTCAGCTAGTGAGCAGTTATTTTACCTTTATTCCAGGAAGCAGAGAGGGAAAAGTCAATTTTTGGAGTGGATGGGAGCTAGAAATAAAGAGAGAGACAAAATATCAGCACTTGAGGGCTTTCACTTGGAATTCACATCACCTTGGCAAAGCCTCTTGACCTCAGATCTCAAAATTACTTAGGTGCCTACTCTCCCTAGGCCTCAAAAGGGACCAGACATGATGCTTAAAGTCTGGGTTTTGCTTTTTCCTGCAATTTAAAGTAGGTGCAAAAGGCAGAACATATTATTTAGGTGTTCCTGAAAAAGCATCTCCATGGCTGTCTCTGTTAGTTTATATTTGTAATATGAAAAATCTCAAACTTCCAGCAAAGGTCTCTGATTTTCTGAGGATTTTTCAAACTAAGAACTACTCATAGAGGAGGGGCCTCTTCAAGCAATTGAAATTCAACTTGAACTGTTGGCAATGTGAAAAATTGGGAGGATAATATTTTTATTGTTTTTCTTAAAAACAAGTAGGATCCTTCAGAAGAAAACTACACAGTGCAATCAATACCTCCCAGGGCATGTCTGCAGTCCCTCCCTTGACCCTGCTTACCCCTCTCCTCTGAAATAACATCTCTGAGCAATGTCTCTGCCCCAAATTTAGCATTTTATTCGCCTTCCATTTCAATCCTCTTCAAAATATTCGCCGTGTGAAATCCAGTTTTAGCAGTAAAACTCCTGCCAGCCTCACTGTAATCAGAATATCACCCCCATATTTTCTCCTCCTGATTCAGGGGAGGTGTTTGTGTTGCAGGCATCAGCTGAGCAGCCCTTACCTCCCAGCCCAGGTAATCTGTCCACTCTTGGATAGCTGGAGGCAGCGTTTCCTGAGCTTTCTTCAGTGCTTCAGCACCTTCTATGCCACTGCCCAGCAGCCCCTGGTCATATGCCACGTACACAGCAGCTCCAGCCAGGCCTCCTTTGACCAGAAACCTGAAAGAATTGAAAGCACAACAGTTCAGTTCCTGTTCTGACCATCAGTGCATCTCTCTCAGTGGTTGTGACTGCCAAAGAAGGTAGCAATAAAGAAACCTCATGTCTTACTGTAAGTAAAAATCAGCAGAAAAATGTCTTCCTATGTTCCTTGCCCTCCCAGGACAACTATTTCCTGTCAGCCCCTTGAAACTACTCCTAATTCACATTTTATCAGTGATGGTTTTCAATATAAAAACGAGAAATGTCACGTTCCTCAAGAGCATGTGCCACTTTTTAAAGCCTGAGAATCACTGCCATATTCCTCTGCTAAAAGCAACTAAAGGATTCTGCAGTGAGCAAGCCATGCATGTTCATTCTTCCTGATAAATCTGATATTTATCTCATAAATCTGACAGACACCAATATCTTTACAGCCCATGAACACCTGGCCACGGCTTTTGCACTGCCGAGGCTTTTAAAGTTTCCCTGCACGATGAAACTTTTAAAGTTTCCCTGCAGTCACCAGTTCTACAGCTGTGATGCCAACCTACACAAGGGAAGATGGGAAGAGAATATTTGGCATTTATTGGCATTTCTATTATAAATAAGAGATCTGAGGTAAGCGATTTTCCCAGACTCGCAGAGAGATGTTTTCCCTTTAAAAAAAATCAGCAAAACTTGGCAGACAGCGGTACTGCAGTAATAGGACACAGGGCAGATACAAGAGAGCTGAGAAGAGAGAACCAATTTTTAAAGTCGTGTATTCACATGCATTTTGGATAAAAGCGATTTCTCTGCTGAAATGCGCTGCTGGCCCCCAAGGATACCCGTGCAGCCCCGAGCCCCGCGCTACTCCCGGGTTTGTTACGTGTCCGTATCCGCCCGCGGAGAGCGGCGGGGCCCTCCCGGCCTGTGCAGACACAGCCGGGGAGCCGCGGGGGCAGGCGAGGCCAAGGGCGCGGAGCGAGGCGAGCACAGCCGAGGCACAGGGAGGCCGCGGGCCTGGGGACGGGCCGGGGACAGCGGCACTGAGCACTGAGGGCCGGGCGGGGAGTGCGGAGGGGAAGCTCCGTGCGGAGGGTGCGGGAGGGCGGGCAGGGCCGGCGGGACTCACTTGACAGCGGGCAGCAGGCGGGCGGCCATGGCGGCGGCGGGGCCGGAACCGTCACGTGCGCGCGCGGCCCCGCCCGCGCCGCCGGCGTGAGGGGCGGGAGGGACGGGAGGGCGTGAGGGGCTTGAGAGGGACGGGCAGGGCAGAGCAGGGCTTGAGGGGCCTGAGGGGCGTGAGGGGGGCCGGGCCGAGCCGGGCAGGGCTTGAGGAGCGTGAGCGGGACGGACAGGGCTGAGGACGTGAGGGGACGGGCAGGGTCGAGCCGAGCCAAGCCGAGGGTGTGAGGGGGCCGGGCAGAGCTGAAGGGGCCGAGCGGGACTTGAGGGATGTGAGGGGGTCGGGCAGGGCTGAAGGAGCCGGGCAGGGCTGAGGCTGTGAGGGTGTCGGGCAGGACTTGAGGGTGTGAGGAGAGTGAGGGGGCCGGGCCGGGCTGGGCTGAGCCGAGCCGAGCCGAGCTGAGCCGAGCCGGGCTGGGCTGAGCTGAGCTGAGCTGAGGGGCGTGAGGGGGCCGAATGTGGCTCCTGCGCCTTTGTGGCGCTGTACCCGCCGCCCGTGTTGTCGCTCGCTGTCGCAGCGTGGTGGCGGAGCGGCTCATCCCGCTCTCTTCTTACCCAGACACGGCTCCGTCCTGTGGGCTCTGCCGCCGCCTCCCTCCCGAGATCCCGCTGCTTTGAGGTCACTGCTGCCAGCTGTCGTTAGTCTTTAATGAATTAAGAGCTCTCTAAGATTAGACACGAGGGTTTTTTTTTTTCTCCTGTAGGCTCTGAGTGCAGAGGGCTGTGGGAATTGCCGGTGAAAGGTAATTTTTATTTTTGACCAAGGTGGCTGTGGCTCCCGGGTGAGAGACCCCTCAGGTGGGCTCTCGGTTCTACAAAAGCCTCTCCCAGGCTGGCTCCAGGCATCAGAGGAAGGAGAACACGGTATTATTTTGGCTGAAGTGCTCAGCTTCAACGCTTCACTTTGTTCCTCACAGCTTGGAGGGAAATGAAGCCAATTGGAAAAGTGCTTTGTGCTACAGGGGTTGTAGCTGGGCTCATCGCTTTCTTCTGGAAAGACGACTTTAACCCAGGTAGGCTTGCCAGGGGGATGATTTCAAGCTAAAATATAAGTCACACAAGGGAAGAGGTTGAATTTCCAAATTTGAATGATGGTCTCATTCCTGCCCCTAGTCTTACTAGAGTTGGTAGCCCCACAGCAATGTTTCATTCCCCAAAACAAAGAGAAACTTGAAACAAAGAGAAAGATGAAATGGTCTAAGAGCAGGGATCCCGCTGTCTCTGTGGGGGAAAATGGCACTTTGCTACTGCCTTGCTCTTTTTATGTTTTGGTTGTAAATTCCTTGGTTCAAATTCAAGAACCATCTCTAGAGGTGTGCAGTGCCTGGCCCAAGAGGGCTGATGGCAAAGAGTAGATGATATGCAGAAGGAGCATAGCCTGTTTTTCTGGTTTATGTTGTACAGCTTCTCAGAAGGTGAAAAACAGCTTGGTTCTTGAAAGATTTTGGTCTAGCAACCCAGGCTAGGCCCTGTGTCATCATCATGCCATTGCATCACCAGTCCTGCCCCTTCTAGTTTTGCAGAAGCACCAGGAATTTTGAGCACTCAGGTGCATCTTTCTTCTTTAAAGCTCTGCCAGTAGTTAAGGGCAGCTCCTCTCCTGCTTTCTTCACTTATTTCTGTATCTTTTATTCTCTTTCCCATAACAAGAGAGCCTGTCTGGTGCCCGTGTTCTTGTGACTGGAGCCAGTGCTGGGATTGGAGAGCAGATAGCATATCACTATGCCAGATTTGGAGCTGAAATTGTGTTGACTGCCAGGAGGGAAGCTGTGCTGCAGAAGGTAAGAACCTCATCCTTGTATGGGGGAAGACATGAGAGATTCAGGCTTTTACCAAACCAACAAAAAATGAGTTGTCAGCATAACAGATTTTCTTTCAGAACTGTCAAGTATAAATCCAGAAGAGAATTTGGCCTGTACAAGAAAATACAAATACAGTATTTGTATTTGTACAAATGCCTGAGCTTTTAACTGCCTGAACATTTATTTATATGAGGGGATGGTGTGAAGCTGCATCAGGGAAAGGTCAGGCTGGACATTGTTCTCCACTGTGAGGGTGATGAGTCCTTGGATGAAGATCCCCAGGAGCAGTGGTCACACACCAAGCCTGTCAGAGCTCAGGGAACATCTGGGCCACACCCTTAATGATAAGGTTTGGTTTAAGGAGTCCTGTGAGGAGCAGGGAATTGGATTTGATGATCCTTATGGGTCCTCTTCAATTTGAGATACTCCATGTTCTACAATTCCTGGGCAATATTGTGCAACTTTTCAGAGTCCAAATTGTTTCATTTGTAGCTGTTTTGTTAAAAACTCAAGACTTATTGTAGGTGAAATGCCTTTTGACCAACTCAAACAGATGAGACTTCTTCATCTTTATGAAATGGGACAATATTTAGAAAGAGTAACTCTTCAGTTGTGGGGATGTGTAACTTCCAAGGAAAGTTCTTGACTGTGAAATGGTGCCAAAGGTGAGCTGGGGACAGTGAGCATAATAATAGTTCCTAATGACTGGAAGGCATTATTCCAGCAAAAAGCTAAAACTGCATATCATTGTCAGGCACATTCACACACTCAACATAGCAAAGGAATTATGAAAGATGAATTCTTTTCCAGTTATTTTGGAAAAAAAAAAGAGAAGAACTTAATGTAAAGCATAATCCTTGTTCCAGAAGATTGCTCCTGAAGAAGATTGGATTTTTTCCAGTGAATCTTGATCCTGTCCCAAGCAGATTGTTTAAGCAGACAGTTGAATAGAGGGAACCCTTTGCAGGATGCAGCTTCAAAGTCTGGATGCAGAATGAGCTCTCCATGGCCCAAACAGCAATAAACTTTAAATTAAGGTGTGTGTGTGTGTGTCTCTGTCCAGAACTGACTTTCAGTGACTGCAGCATGTGTTTCATGGTGCCCTTTCCCCCAATCTTTTTTCAAATATTAAATCTTTGGGGTGTGTTCTTTTTCAAGGTGATGGAGAAATGCCTGACACTCGGAGCAAAGAAAATCTTTTACATCCCTGCAGATATGTCCTCCCCTTCAGAGCCTGACAGGGTGGTTCAGTTTGCTGTCCAAAAGCTGGGTAAGCATCCTGAGCATCTCTTTGGCTTTCAGGTGTGTGCACAGGTCTCATCCTAGTAGGAGAGAACTGAGAAAGGTGTTCAGGACATAGCTGTACCACCAGAGCTAAGTTCTGCTCCTGAATCACACTGAAACATCATTTCAGGGAGTTCTTGTCAAAGTCAAACAGTTTTCCTTTCAGTTCTGCCCCTGAGGAGCAGCCAAAGCTGCTCCCAGATGAGCACATGTAACCTGTCCTCATCACATGTAACTTGTCTTCATGGTAAAGCACTTCCCTCCTTCTGAGGGAGTGGTTGAGCCCTCCTGGCATTTCTGAGCTCCCTGGCTGATGGTCAGGGATGGGCTCCTTGTGTCACTGCTTCTTCTGCTGTCCAAGGGGGCCTGGATTACCTCGTGCTGAACCACATCGGCACCAACCGCTTCCAGGAGTGGGCTGGGGATGTGGAGTACACGCGCTGGCTCCTGCAGGTGAGGCCTCCCTGCTCCCCTGAACCTCCCTGCTCCCCTGAACCTCCCAGTACCCCTGAACCTCCCTGCTCCCCTGAACCTCCCTGCTCCCCTGCATCCTCCCTGCTCCCCTGCAACCTCTGTGCTCCCCTGCAACCTCCCTGCTCCCCTGCATCCTCCCTGCTCCCCTGAACCTCCCTGCTCCCCTGAACCTCCCTGCTCCCCTGCATCCTCCCTGCTCCCCTGAACCTCCCAGCTCCCCTGCAGCCTCCCTGCTCCCCTGAACCTCCCTGCTCCCCTGCAGGTGAGGCCTCCCTGCTCCCCTGCAGCCTCCGTGCTCCCCTGCAGCCTCCATGCTCCCCTGCAGCCTCCCAGCTCCCCTGCAGCCTCCCAGCTCCCCTCCAACCTCTGTGCTCCCCTGCAGGTGAGGCTTCCCCGCTCCCCTGCAGCCTCCCAGCTGCAGGAGTGTCGGGGGTAGCACGGTGGGGATGGATGGAGACGAGAGATCTCTGGAGCCAGGTCAGCAACTTGGGGTTTATTGGGGTTTAAAGGGCCTGGGTGCAGGAGCTGCCAGCTCAGAGCAGGCCTGAGAGAAGAGAGGGGTAGAGAGGGTGAGAGGGTGAGAGAGTAAGGGAGTAAAAAGGGGCAGGAGAGCAAAAGGGGTAAGGGAGCAAAAGGGGTAAGGGAGCAAAAGGGGTAAGAGCATAAAAAGGGTAAGAGAGCAGAAGTGTAAGAGAGCGAAGTTCCCGTTACAATACAATAAATACAATAAATCATCTTCTGTGTTGAATATTCTAATTCTCACTAACCAATCTAGTACAATATGCAAATCTTATAGCATTCACATACAGCCTAGAAGAATCATTACATTCTAAGAATCATTATGCAATGTTTGCCCCCATCTTTAGAGATGATTTTTCTCATTTGATGTTTGAAAAGGCAATTCCAAACCACGCTCCTTTACATTTCTGACCACTCTATTGACTTTCTTGGCTCATGCTTCCAAACCCTCTTGCTTTTTCCATGTCTACATTGATCATTCCAGGTGAATTTTGTGAGTTATGTGGCTCTTGCAACAGCAGCTCTTCCCACCCTGGAGAAGAACAGAGGTGCTCTGGTGGTTGTTTCTTCCCTCACAGGTTGGTGACTTTACCTGGGGTAAGTGCTGGCCTTGTGGAAACAATGATTCCCAGTGCTGTTCATATTTCTCTGTTGTTCAATTCCTAAACCCATTTTCAAACTGTGCTTTTCATAGTATATAATAATATTATAACAAATACATAATAATATAGTAATATGTATTTTAATATACTTACATAAAGGGAGACTCACCTGAACAGAACATGAATTGAGATAGAGTATGACAGAACCTGCATCTTCTCTCCATGGATCCTCCTTTCACCACTTCCCTGGGGTTTTCCATTCTCTCTTTCCCCTTTCCAGGGAAAATGCCCACTCCCTTC